GTTAATCATTATTAAGAGACTTTTGAGTGGTATTCATTAAAATAGGAGGTTTCAAATGTATGAGGTGTTTGCAAAATTTTATGGGGGTTTCAAATGCATAAGGTTCAAGGAAAAATGCTAGCTTTATAAGTATGTATGATGTCTTGCAATTAGCCATTTTCCTACGTTAGCTTCAATGTCTAGTCTATATATTGTAATATATATAGAATTCCTTGTTAGGTGTAGTCATCAATAAACATGGATATTCCTACCAAATATAGCAGTGTATCTTTATTGGAACCCTAGCCAAACATAACATGGTATCCTAGAAGATCAAGGCAATAGTCAGCATAAATTTCTTCATTGCTATCACTGGAGGAAATGAGATGAAGAGATGTATGTTAAGTTGAAACTTCAGTGTCGGTCTAAGAAGGGTTAATGTTGGAAAATATGCCTGGAGAAAAAAAATGTAATCAATACATCCAAAAACATATAGAATCAATAAATCCGGAAATAATTTTAGGGAATAAATTAGCTTTCTTACCTTGTAAGTCTGCGATAAGGAAATATAAACATGTTTGTGTGTAGTTTAATGGATATTTACAGTCAAAGAGCATTCCTTCATTTTGTAGTGGTCAACTTAGCCATTGATCCAATGCACTAAACAGAAGCGGAAAAATCAAAAGTGGGCGTAAACAGAGAAAGAAAGGGTGATTGGTGGTAGTCGGTTTACCTGACGATGGGTGGATGAAGGCGGTCATTATAGCAGCAACGCATGAGTGGTGGTTGTAGGAAAAAGGAAATGGTGTGTGGGTGTCCGTTGTGCCTGTGTGTACATATAGTGAGACACAGATGGAGGAATGGAGAGAGGGCAAATGGTGAAGTGTATGCGTAGATTGTGTAAGGTGGGCAAGCTGCAACGATTTTGAAGTAGCTATGGCGGCTCATATTTGCGGGGGTATACCGACGGTGATGAAAAATAAACAGGGTGATGGAGTTGTAGCCTTATGTAGGGTTTTGTGATGGTGAATGTTTGGGTGGCGAAGGAGGTTGTAGGTATTCTTTCAGCTTCCAGTCAATTTCTAGGATAAAAGAGAGAGGGTGAATCCTTAGGCTGTTAGGGAACATGGGCATATTTTAATTGTTGAAGTGAGGAACATGGAGTGAACGGGATCGGTGGATAGTTATAAATAACAAGTTCACAACCCTAAAGAAATACAAAAGGGGAAACATTCAAATTCTGGAAAAAAAATAAGGAAACGACGGAGATTCCAGTCCGATTTTGGGGGGAATGTCGGATATATGGGAAGAGATAGAGGCGGGTTAAGCAGCGGAGAATGGTATGAGGAATCGGTCAAAATAATAGCTTCAAACTAATAAGAGATAAAATAGTTATTAGACTTTGACTATTTGACTTTTTTTTTACTAAATAAGATTTTAATGCATAAAAGGTTTGTATATATAGCAATAATGTTTGTACGACTTAAAATTAAGCGTTTGACTAAAGATGCTTTATAAGGTA